TCAAGGATCAGATAATTTTTTTTGAGAGGAAGAGAGGCGGGATATTATTAGTGTATACAAATCCTACGTTACCTATAAAATTTATCAAACAAGATGCTTCGTTTCAAAGCGCTACTGTTCTTTTTACATAAGGAATTTCTCTAAGAGCACAAACTAGATGCTTCAAAGTTAAATCCAACGATGGCTAGAAACGAAGGGGTCTCGGCGAGACCACTTGTAAAGTGACTCGTACCTTTCACGCCACAGATTGAAGAGTACATTCGAGGTAGGCATTGCAAATGTCATTGGTCTGAATGTTAACAAGCGCCAACCCTTTGTTACTTCCAGTTATTGTCATCAAAAGGCTTCATGCCATTGCAAGTAACAGGCAAAATAAAATGCTCAGCAATGTTCAGCCAAACGGCGAGCGCGAAAGTACAGAATCACCGAACAATGCAAATTTACTTATATGGAGGTAAGGACGTATCAGTCAGCCATCCATAGATTCGGTCAGTGTTGTTCTCCGAGGGTTCATTAGGTTAACGTTAATGCAGCCACGATATGCAATTCTAATTTTATAACAACAGTGCTCTGTTCGTGCAAATAAAGCCAACCTGCCATTGCCAGGCTGTGGATTTTCAAAGGGATGCAAATACACAGGACCATACAAGGGGAATGGGGCACGAACAGTATTTTGCACGCACTGACGGTGGTTTGCATCATTTCGTATGTCTCTGTCAGGGCAAGTGAGGTGGTAAATGAGTAAATCTTGGGCATTGTGGCTGATCACAATCCTATCTTAGCCTGTTTGCGTGAAATGTCTCGAAGTGAATGAGTACCGTCTACTGGACAACTTTTCGGACATGATCTATTGTCCTTATTCTCGCCAGACAACTCCAATGGGTTAGGACAGAGTTTATACATCCCTTATTGCAAAATGAACTTACTTCGGATTTTTAAGCGTAGTGTGACGAGCTTTCAGCTTAACAACGACATCTGCTTGGCGCAGAGAGTAGCAGTCAGGCTGTGCAAAGGCTTTCAATGATGTTAGAACCTGACGAAATAATATAATGTTTCCTAAGGTTTCAATCGTATAATCTTTGAAATACGACTTTTGTGAGACCCTAAAATTGATTAATATGATCATATTTGAGCGGTAATTCCCAGAAATAACGGTAAATGAGGACACTACTGATGAAAATGCTGGGAGTTTTAACTCAAAGTAGGATGTTGATTGTGACCGCAAACAATATCAAGCAGTGTTATGGACAAAACTTCCGTCCCCTTCGGATTTGGGTTCTTAAAGTGCTGACCATTCCACCATAATGGATGGATTTCTTCAACCGTCACCTGCTTTTCACCTGGGAAATCGGTAGTTTGGTGACAGACCTTTTAATTTCTGAAACTGGCATGTTGATCTTAACTGCTGAACCTCACCCGTCGTATTGGGCTTCAGTTAAGATGATATACGCCTCTTTTCCGAAAGTTAAGAGGGTGGAAGGCCAAAGCAGGCTGCACTAGCCGAGACGCCTGGTGAGGAAGAGAAACGTTCGCGAAGGACTGAAGAAAGTTCACAGAGGAGTGTTGAAACATACACGTATTGATAGCACTGCGCCAAACCTGAGTCTCCTGTGCCAACATTTATCCACCATGTGTGGCTGCCACTCAGCCTAGAATTTGCAGCTGATGACCGGGAGTGAAAGTGACTTATATGAGTGCTACAGAAAGCTGAGTAAATAAATGTTTTGTTCCAGCATTAAAAAATTTAACATGAGAGAAGCCAGTTTACAGGCATCATCATGCTGAATCACCTCAAAATATCTAAAAGACTTTACTAGTCCTGAATGATACAGACGGAATGTCATTAAGCTCTATTAAAGAGAGCAGAAGATCCTGCTAGTTATGAAACGAACAAGGGAATATCAATCTTCGGCGTATACAGTAATAAAGTTTGGATAATAACGAATGTTATCCTCACATAATGGGTTTAACATGAGGGATACCGCTTTACAAGCACCGTCAATTTTTGAAAGTTTACAGGGTGATATTTAGCATTAAATAATTCACACGTCAGGTCATTGGTGTGCATAATCTTATTAAAATTTGCTGAAATTCATGAGACGGGCGTGGAGCTTCATCTCCCATCTCACAGGTAGGTTCCACTGTTAGGAACAAAAGCGCGCGGTGTTCGGAGCTCGCGTTGTCAGTCCATCCGCATAGTTCATCGTTTGGCAATATAACAGTCTGTTCCCTAGAACAATCTTCAGTCTCTAGCTTTGCTAACCAGGGGAAGCTATAGTCATGTGTGAAGGGATGAAGTGCTCAGTATTTCGGGTTTTTATGGATAAGTTCGTGTGAAGCTGTTGTAGATCGACTCATTGGTTCGTTCGTGTGCTGCTTCAGGCATTTTCAGTGGCCAGTCATAATGGATTGACTGGACACCGTCAAGAATAAAGGATCGATCCTGGTGAAGAGGAATGTCAGATGGTAAGTAGGTGGTGCAATCCATGGTGTGACTGATTATGCTTGTGCTGTGTCTGCTTCTCGTTCGCTTTCTGCTGCATCATCTCTCAAAGCGTCAAAGGCTGTCCATAAGTTAGGGAGTCACTTTTGAGAAAAGAAGAGAGGCTTCTCTTTTATCAGGAACGATTGACGTTGCCCGGGCACTAAAACTTGTATATTTGATCTCTCACTACAAGTTTTTCCGTCTACCTACTATAATCCTGTGGCGGTGTTTACTGCTCGTCTGAACATTCGGCACCTAAGTTTAGACGGTCACAGCCCTGATATGAACCTATATAGAATCTACATTGTGGATATGGATGGATGGCTGTACATTTATACTATTTCCATTGTCGATTTTGTGTCAATTTGGCTGCATATGTGTCAATAAACCTTGGCACTCTCCTTGGTATTTTCGTTGACAGAATTGATAAGCACTGCTATGAAGCTTGGTATTCCAAGTAAAGCTTCAGCGTTTTTGAGCCATATGAACAGTATGTATACTGCAGACAGCGTGATAAGGATTTGAAAACAATTTAAGCAACGTGGTCTGCTTGCCATTTTTACAAGCATGACTTGTTTTGATACAGTCTCATGCCAGTAAGAATATCTAGTCATACACTAGGCGACAACCAAAGCTTTAGGAATTGTGAAGCTAGAAAGTTTGTGAGAAAACTGTTAAACTGAAGCTGGAGAATGGGATGAGAACTACTGGTAGACCCATGTACTTTTAGGGCTGTAGTAAACGTTCATGCTGAGAGGCGTGAGCAGATTAGGAGTGAAAACCAAATCTTGTTTCGAAAGTTTGAAGTGAATGGAAGGTTTCAATGATTTTGTAGATTTGGCTTCTGACTTGATCATAACCTCGAGCACGGTCGGTATCGGATGTCATCCGGGAAGCAAGTTTATGAAATACGCCTAGCTTCTGAAGATTTTGGGGTCTCATATGGCTGGTGGAGTCATTCATTGGATCCTAAAAGTGGGTGACTAATGGAACAAAAATAGACAGCTATCCAAACTGTAAGGCATACGTAGAATGGCGTGAACAGACATTCAGCATGCTGAATTTGACTTTATGAGGTGGCAGATCGGCTAATTTTCAAGTGTCTCATTTACACCGACTAGTCTATCGGAAGCAGGTCAAAGTAGTCGCAAGGTAATCAAGAAATGAAACACCATGGAGGTTGGTATGCCTTTAGTTGAATGGCAATAGTGCTAACGAACGGTAGATTTATTTATGCAAAAACAGATGGGATGGGCAACCTGAATACCGGTGTCTTTTTGGACTGGTAGCTATTACACCCTACATAGTGATAGCAGGCCAACTTTTTCCGTCTAGGAGTTCCGAGAAGAAATATTCTGGTAATAATTGAGATGAGCGGCTGTTGCTCACTCACAGTGGATTCGGTGGACTCAAAAGGTAGTCGGTTGGTGGTGGAATTCATGAATGACACGTGATTTTCCTTCAAACAACGATGCTGGTGGTACAATTAACTGCTGTGTCACAACCAGCCGTTACAGGATATCGGAACTAACAGAGAAAAGCCAAGAATTGACAAGAGACGCCATAACTAGAATCAGCATCATGAGAAATTACAAGATAATCAGAATAAGCGAAGAGAAATATGGCAAATAAAGATGAAGGTTTTATAACGAGGTATTTCAAACGAGAGTAGGTAGCCAGCAAATAAAGAAGGACGGGAGGAAATGGAGAAAGCGAACTGGAAAGTATGCGAAAGTAACCGGCTAAGGAAGCCTTGACATAAACTGTTATATGTTCGCCCATTAGTTCCCACAGTAGTCCCCAGTGAAAGGTTGGGTTCAAAGTGAAGATATGTCTAACTGCATTACAGTATGCGGCACCTTGATGTTTACTTGGCGTGCTATGAGGACCATGATGTTACCCCTCCGGAAGGATAATTAGCGTCTGTTTGATAGTATTTTGTCATCAAGTAACCGGATCCCCTACAACTCAAGCTTCTTAATTTCCCAAAGCTCCCGTCGTTTGACATCCTCAGTGCCAGTGGTCAGTTTAACAGAAGTCTTTCTTCTGCCCCCGAAGTAAAAGCATGACAACACATATACCCCGGAAGTGAGGAATTGTAGATCTCTATGGAAGGTAACGGTCTTCATTGTCCACTAAAATGCCAAATTTACCGAAAGCTTGCATATTATTAATTCCGGTTGCAGGTTTTCTCAGAATTGGATCAAGATCTGGTCCGAATAATATGCTGGGAATGTTTTAAATACAGAACTGATGATTTGCTTCAACGGCTGGGCGAAAGAAGTATACTATTTCCACCAGTTGAATGTCACCCAACAACTTTCAGTCTTGCATTGGTAAAGGATATTGTTTTCATGGAAAGCTAAAATTTTACACACATTATGCTAAAAAGACAAGCTAGAACCTGTCCAGCAAAGAGGGTCAATATTATAACCTTGAGTTTGTTTTACCCATTGTCAGTTGTAGGTCGTTCTGAATACTATTATTCAAACATGCAATCATTTACCGTGAAAACATGTTCAATATATTGCTTATATTTCTTTTATGCAGCATAAAGACTGACATTTCATCATGCAGTAAATATTATGCAATAGAAACAGATCTCAGTGAGGAAGAATTGGATTCATTTGTACATGAACATGGGGGTTTAGTTACTGGAAAGGTGAGTAGTCATTGTTCAGCAGTTTATTTTTATCTCCTTAACTTGTATTATTAGTTTTCAGGGTAAGAATCTTCTAGTAAAAAGTCTTTTGTAATAGGTTTTTTATACCTAAGTTGGCCTTATTTATCTATAAATCTCTGTTGACTCACCACCAAGATATATATATATATATATATATATATATATATATATACTAGTAGTCAAACAAGAATACTGAAATAATGCCTACAAACGTGGAAATAATGCAGGTCGGCGCATTGATTAGGAATGCTGAAATGCGACACTTGAGAGGAGTTTACGGACTATCCGCATAATTTTATGCACTATATATATATATATATATATATATATATATATATATATATATATATATATATATATATATATATATATAGTGCTACAAATACTGATGAAGCACAAGAAAAAAGAAGTTTTAGTTCCGGTAACTGGTGTTTATTTTGTGAATACTCTTTTTGGAAAAAATGATCTTGTATTGTTTTGAGGCGGATTCACTGCCTCTAGTTTTCATTTCAGAGTATGTGACAAACTTGTCGGCATAATGAGTGGTGAATTACTATATGTTGTTATACGTAAAGACAAATTACTCGACGGAACTAAAGTTATGTGATGAAATTCAACTTATTGTCATATCATAGAACTAAGACCTAGAAGCCCAAGAGCTACAAGTTTCCCCTACTCGGATTATTGATACTAAAGACATTGACTATGACATATATAAATCTCGTAACGCATGCTTTGATTCAGCGGTTCTTGTCATCATATTCATGTTTGTGGTTTGAGGACAGAATACCACAAGTTTATCTTAATCCTTTATCACTCTATCTCTGTGCTTGTCCAGGCCTCCTTAGAACGAGTCCATTAGTAACATAAACAGCACCTTTTTGGAATGCTCTTTCAAAATTTGACTACTCAGAGCAACAACCAGCACTCTACGCATACTTCTTCCTTTGTTTTTGCATTTCCCTGCGATACCTGCAGATCCATTCTCACCTAGTGGGAAGGAGAAGAGAGGACAGATCAAGTTAGAAGTCATTTCTTGAAATGTCGTACAACGTGATTAGATCTCCCTTGCATCTACGATGCAGTAAAGGACAAAAGTTCAGCTCCACAGATTGATCTTTATGTGCCAGCATAGCCATTGCAGTGATCACACGAATGGCTGTCGTCTGGACTCTTTTCAAAAGATTCAAGTCACTTTTCAGACACTGATTTACAGCTAATGCACAGTTTTATAGTTTGGAGCTAGCTAAGGATGTGCATAAGTTGGCGAACATAACACCACTTGTATTGGTAAGCATCCTGCCTCATACCCACACTCCTAAAACTCCAATCTGAGACCAATCGGTCTTCAAATCATAATTTGGTGTGGCTCCTAGGTTATTGTGGTTCAGTACTAATGGTAGAGAAGTTCTACCAGTATAGCGGATATTTCCATTTGTGTGTCTCATGTACTGGCCCACCCATTTAACTTCATCGACATGTATCAACCACGTAACTGACTGTGTTAACCAGCTGTTTAAGTCTTTATGAATCAAGCATACACCTTTGTCAACACTAATTTCTTGACGGAATTTGTAATGAAAACCATACACTACATCCGCACCTCCTTCCATTTCTGTCCTGTGAGAAGACAAGAAGCAATCATGTTTGCATAACTACACGCAAAAATTTAACCGTACCACATTTAGCTTGTGCACTGTGTGAAGGAAATCATGGCAGAAATAGTCTTATCGAAAATGTCCTTGAAGTCATTAAACATTTTAACAGTTGTGTTATTATTTATCAGATATATATATATATACATATATATATATATAAATTGAAAAATGCTTTACAACGGGTAAGCTGATGCAATATCACACGCTGAGGATTCTCTACTACAAACACAATCATGGTTTGGAATTGAAGGAGAAAAAGCGAGGGACTTATGGCGGTGTGCTGTAGTACTTCACTTTGTACTGACTTTCAACTGGAGGGCTAGGAATCGATCCGAACTCCTTGTTCCCTACCACCAAGTAATTTTCTTATCCATGCAAGTAAGTTGCTTGTGATTCTGAAACTTTCCGGTCCCAGGAGCAGCCTGGGATGAAGTGCCTTGTTGAAAGCCTTACTAGATTCTATGAAATGATATCTACAAGTATCATATCGTTCTTAGACGCCACTCAACTTTCTCTGACTGTGAGAAGTTTCATCAAGCAGGGGGAACTACTATTAAAGCCACGTTGTGAAGGAGACTATAGTGTTGTTTTCTAAGTTGAAGCGTATTGGCTTTCTTGGTTACTGTTCCCAGGTCTTAAACTACAGCATAATCAGCCTTGTCTATCTACAACGTAACAGGTGGTGCTTAGAATCTGACTTGTTGTTAAGTGTAAATATGTTGTCCTTCTGGTCTTAGAGGATTGCACTTCCACTGAGGGATGGTCCAGACATGGTAGTCAGTGAGTCAGCTAAGTAAGATGCAAGCTCTCTAGACAGCCTCTGGCGCAGTTCATGCGGTAATGTTGACTTTTCAACAACCGTAGTGCTGAATGTGCGAAATATACCACTGCAATAGATGTTCACGAAGTTTGTTCTGCGGAATTTTAGTGCTTATACTGCTCATACTGAATTAGTGTTAACCAAAGGTTCTGAACTCAAGATCTCGGGAAAACATCTAGTCATAGATTCTCCTTTATCCTCATCATTTTTGATTAACCGATTAACGTCCATCTTTTTGACTAAGGTTAAGATATCACAATATGTTTGATTCATGTTGTTTGTACAAGAAAATGATATATTTGGGTGTTGCACTTTGGCATGGGTAAGATGTGTTTGAAGCCCATTTGGGACAGGTGGACAGTAGTGATACATTCATTCCAGGCTTCTTTTTATTACTTGTTCGCCTGGGAAGAACTACGGTGAGTGACAAAACAGTTGTGCTTTTTCTTCTGCAGAAGTAAACTTCTGATTTCACGGTTTATACACGAAGGACAGTGAACTCGTCTCTTTGGGGTTTCTGAGTTGACTCTTGGGTTTTCCAAACAGTCTGCCACGTTGGCATCTGCCATGTTTCCTATCCACACATTCAGCCTAACTAGAATTATAGCCTGGCCTAAGACGGCTACTGTGATTATATTTATTCACAATATGCTGTTGAAAGTACAGAATGACATATCGAAAGAGAGCAACAATAAGTTTATCCCATTTGCTACGAGTTCTCAATGAGTCAAAATTTGCTGCATGAGCTACCACTTTTCATGGATTTAAGAATATCGATATTGGCTAGGAGGACTTATCAGTGACCAAGTCCACTACTAATGCGTTTGCAACTACGAAGATAAAATTTTCACCTAGCTGTTTCAGCATTTATACCTCCACAAGCGGAAGAAAGAAGAGAATGTTTTAGGAATAAATGGTTCCGAAAGATATACAAGACTTTTCTTACGTGAAAAAGTAAGTACTTCCGTCCAAGCTACTTTTTCATTGGTATTCACATCGAGGTGATGGCTGAAATGTCTTGTTAAATGATTCTTAGTGAAATCACTGGCTTGCGTAATTTGTTTTAAAGCCGCTAGCATCTTTATACAAGGCTCTAAATGTATTTGGAAAGTATGACATATCCGAAGTCCTTATTTTTGTTCTAAACCCCCTGAATTCTGTTTGAATTGGCACTTTCTCCCTCTTTATACTGTTAAACAAAGGCCATTCAGAACTTTTACGAAATCTATCACCACGACGTGAAGCGGTTGCAGAGTTGTGATTATAGGTGTTTTTGTAGCATTGCTGGTATGTAGTGGAATCGCCTTGTGAGTAATGTTGAGGTCAGGCAAAAGGTACTAGACAAACCAGGCAAGTAGATTGACGAGGTTGTGAACATTAGTCAAATGAGATGGTTTTGACATGTACTACATATGACGAGCCACTATTTACCCTGATGTATTGTGATAGGGGAAGTTTGGTTAGGATTTAAGAAGGTCCAGGTTGAGTAGATCAATACCTTATGCCTGACTGTTGGTCCGAGCCGTGTGGAGCGATGAAGACTACCTGGTTGAGGTCCCCGAGAAGAAATGAATCAGTGATTGAGGACTCTTGGTGACATGGTTGAGAATCGGCTGCAATAGTTCAGATTCATTCGCTGAATGATGTCTTCTAAAGCTTGAACAGTTAAGCTAAGCTTCATTTTCAGATAGTTTATTCTCTCACACAACGGTGTCTACTGCGATATCACTCCTTTTTATCCACCATGTTCTTTGTATACTCCTATGAAGTGTGGCAAATTAAACTCCGATAGGTTTGTGTGCAAGGTTCTATGTTGATTTCGTCAGTCAGTTGTCAGTCCATCACCCATAAAAGATTTTCAACATAATTCGTTTCAAGTATGAAAATATAGTAGGTTAAGATCAACTGCCTAACTGTATTTAGAACAAAAGTGTTTACATCAACCTGATATGCCTGGTGAGAGAATATAGATCAGTCTGAGTGGTTTTTAACAAATGTTTCGATTTACATGTTAGCAGCATAGCTATAGCAAAAGAATGGATCGGCCGATTTGTTTTTTAAGTTAAGTAAAGCTTACTCAGGGATGGACATTGAGACACTATTTTTACCAACTTTTGCAAGATGAAAACGCGTGCAAATTTCGGTGGGATACAAAGTTTGTAGCCCACTTGTCAGTGAGCAGTGGAATTCAGGACGTATGTCTATTCCTATTTGGGATTCGTCAGCTGAATGTACCTCCACCCCAGTGAGTAGTATTGTTCCCGCTGAGACTCGAACTTAGTACCCATAACATCAAACGCCAAAACTTTATCCGCTAGGCCACTGAATCAAGACAGTCACCACTTGTACAGCGGGTACCAGCTATTGTTAACTGATACATGTAACTCCTCGTTGTTATACTGGGTCTAACTGCTCAACCTTTGATGGCAAATGGGCTCCCATCAGGATGCCTGGATAGTCATTGTATTGTAGTTTACTTGGCGATTAGCAGTGAAAGTCGG